TCCCATATAAACTGGGGGAAGATGGGCACGGATGTTAGCCCAGGGCCAGTCTTCCTCAGCAAAAAAGAGGAGGATTGGCAGATGTTAGCTCAGGGCTGATCTTCCTCACACACAAAAATAAATAAATAAATAAAACAAAAGGGAGAAGAGTTTCCATTTGGGGGTAGAAATTAGTGGAAAGTTCTGGTCACATACCTCCTGACCTCTCCCTGATGTGCCTACCCTCCTCCTCTCTGATCTCAGGCCATAAGCCTCAGGAACAGACTCCCAGTACCTGGCATTGGGTTTGGCATTGCTGATGGCCATCCTGGTGGACCTAACATTGGATTGGAATATGAGAAGACCTGGTTCAGTCTTCTCCCTGTCTCCAAATCTGGAACGTGGCTCAGCTTCCTCTTGGAGATTTCTTCTTCAGTGTTAAGAATAATGAAGCCCAACCTTGTTTTTGAAATAGGTGGAGCTAACAGGACACAGTATCTTTGACTTCACTCATCCCTGTGACCATGAGGAGATCCGCGAGAACCTGAGTCTCAAAAATGGTAAAGTATTCTTCGTTGTATATTCTCTTCCTTCTTACACCACCTGGGAGGGGATCTGCATTCCCTTTGTCTATGAATGTAGAACTGATGGATCATGGCCATCATGAACCAGAAAACAACTGACATCCATAAAAAATCCAGCAGAGCCTGTGAGACGAGATGGAGGGCACTGAAAGGACCTAGTAGTACTCACAAATATCATGAGTTCCCTTCATGGTGCCCGATAGCACACTATTAGGACATTTCTTTGGCTTACGATACTGTCTCCAGGAGGTTTCATCACCTGAGAGTCCAGCATTTCTGCCAACTGACACCACCCAAACCAATAAACTTGTCAGTGCCAAAATGTCCATGGGAACTATTGCAGCTGTCTATTGCTGTGTAAAAAATCACCTAAAACATAGTGGCTTAGATGATCATTTTATTACCTTTTCATGATTCTGTGGGTTCTGTGAGTGGTTTTTTGCTCCATGTGATGTCAGCTGGGCTGCCATCGTCTGGAGGCTGGACAAGGTGGGATGACCAAGATGGCTCACCCACAGCTGTGGGACCTTGTGGCCAGTAGCTGGAGGCTGGGACTCAGCTGGGATGCTGGCACAGCCAGACCTCTCTCATTCCATGGAGTCTCAGACCCTCTCCCTCTCAACATGGTGTCTCCAGAGTAGCCAGACTTCTTACAGAGCAGCTTAGGGCTCCCAAAAGTACGAAAGTAGAAACTACTGGGCCTTCTGAAGGCTTAGTCCTGAAACTGGCATCTCATCACTCTGCCTCTTCTGTTGTTAGAGTGACTTACAGGCTAGCCCCAATTCAATGTGGGAACAACCCAAGGCTGTAAATATCAGGAGGCGTGGCTCAGTGAGGCCATCTTTGGAGACTAGCTACCCCCAGAGCCAAGGAACGAATCTGGTCCCCTGGTGATAAGACATAGGACAGGTAGTTTTTGATGGAGAAGAGATTTAAAAGGTCTCGTGTGCTGCATCTTACCTGTGGGGGCATCCAGCAGGTGCCAGGGTATGGAAGGGCCCATCCAGGCAAAAAGGACTTTGTAGTGACAATCAGAGCTGCTGCTTTCATCTCTTGTAACTGGGGACATTCAAGCAAAGACACAAATGGGTGTATTGTCAAGAGGACTGAAGCTTTGAGCAGAAGTGGGGCTCCTTTCAAGGTCTCTTCTGAACCTGGGATTCAATCACTGCCCTGGGCAGATTCTGCCCCGTCTTGATATCTCCTTTAACATCTCTCTCCTGTTCACTGCAGGGGATGTGTGCTTGTACAACCTGAATAACAGAGGCAGTGGTACCAAGCCTGCAAGGTTTGGCTATTGTTACTGCATATGCTGCAAAAGCAGACGCTTCATTGGTCCACTTCCACCCTCGTTAGAGACTGAGCCTGCAAAGTGCAGAATTACAGCCACCCCAGCACCACTACCGACTTCTCACCCAGCCCCTCTGCCCTTCCACCTGAAGGCCTCAGGCCACCTGCTCTTACATTACACAGGCTGGAGAGCACTCCATGGGCTGTTCAGTGTTTTATCCGTGCTGCTGAGAAAGTCTTGTTTGGGTCTATGAGGAGGGGCTACCAGACTTTCTGAATCCCTTTCTAAAGCAAGTACGAGAAGCGTGAGAAAATCAAAGTCTTTTGTTTCTTCTCTACTCCAGAAACCCTTTAGCCCTTGAGTTCTCAGTCTCAGTTCAACCGCTGACCTGCATCTCAGTCTGATCTTGTGACCTGAACCAAGTCACTTCACTGCTCTGTTCCTCAGAGTCTTTCTTTTCAGATTGACAGCATTGGAGCAGGAAAAGTCTAGGACCTTCCAGCTCCCAAGTGCCATGGTTCACAGCATAATTCTACTTTATGTATCTGACTAAAACGCAGATCTCTTGGTCCATGTCTCAAGGACTTGGGATCAAACTCAATGAATCAGCAAATCCTCTTTGAAGCTGCTGGCCTGAGTGGACTCACGATCTGGAAGTAAAGGGTTAATGTGAGGACCTAGAGGAAGATAAGGCTATGAGGCAGATTGTGGAAAGCTTTGAAGGCCAGGCGAGGGCCTTGAACTTTATCCTGTAGACAGGAGGGAGGTATTGAAAGTTTTTGAGCAGGGGTGGGGTAATCTGATTGGAGCTGTTTAGAAAGAGTAATCAAATGGCAGAATGAGGAGAATCCAGAGGTTAACAAGTTAGGAGGCCACAATAATAACCCACGTGACAGCCACAAATGAGTCCCTCCAGCCTACTAATCCCCAACACCTGAGCTGGTCCTAGTGGTGGGTCCAGGCCCCAGGATATAAGGATATCTCGTGATATGCAGACCCCACCTATGAAAATTAAAATTGTAAGAAATGTAATTAAGTATGGGAGAGATGGTTTTATAATCATGATGGAGGAATATTTTCTCTTAAAAAAAAAGATTTACCATTTGGGTCTATTACTTAGTGGGATGTCTTAGTAGGAATGTTTAATATAGATTCAAAGGTGCCGCAATTCACTTGACACATAGCTCTTTGATGATATGTCAGTCAAATAAATCACAGCCCTCTGGAGCTTTACTGCAGAGGCAGGTGGCCATGCCTGGAGGGAGGGGTGTGACCATTTGAAACAAGGCTCTGGATTGTTTGGTGATACTGGGCAGGGGGCAGGAGTGTACCTTGGAAGATCCAGGATGGAGATGGTGGTGGTGTAGGCAGAATTTAGACATGGACAAAGGGGACTCAGCTAGCACCTACTGCATTCATGACTTTGTTTTGCAAAAAGTGAGAAAAGTTCTGAATGGGCAGGCTATTTAGAGACTATAAGGAAGGAAGCTATGTTGTTTGTCTTGGTGATTTATTTAATATCCTTTCTGAGAAAGGACATGATCCATGTTGATAATCCTCAAAGTGAACTTGCTTACCAAACCCCAGGAGATTTGGACCAGAGGTCTCTCTTAAGCCTTGACATATGTTACTTTAGGGAGAAAGCTGATGGAACAGTCTCCTGAATGCAGCCATTGCAGGTTGAAAAGAGGGCACTGGAGGGTTCAAATTCCTGAGGGACAGGAGTGAAGAAAAGACAGGAGTGTCTGGGGGACATTTGTAACCTGAGAGGTTTGTCCCCTTGAAGTAATTGTGGTCTCGTCCTGACTGTCCCTTGGAATTCCTTCTAGGGAACCTGGGCCTGCCCGAGGAAAGGTTTGCTGAGATTATGGCTAATAGTCACTCATTGCCTCACTGCTCTGAAGTGGGCACTGACCATGTGCTAGGTACAATGGGAAATAAAACGATGGAACAGCCCCTATCCTCTAGGAGCTTATACTCCAGTTGGGGAGACAAGCTGGAGATGAGAAAGCTTAGTCCATAGGCCAAGATGGTACTCAGCATTCATGGCAGGCTCTGAGAGCAGATCCACGGGAAATATGAACAATACATTGCCCCGCAGAAAAACTGCAGTGGGGCCCCTCTTCTGAATATAAACATAAAACTAAATTCAACTGGTTCCCTCCACCCTTCCCCATCCAGGCTCCGGTTTTGGGAAGAAAAGCAAAGACATGTCCACAGAGCGGGACTTCTTCATGAGGATGAAGTGCACGGTCACCAACAGAGGCCGAACCGTCAACCTCAAATCAGCTACCTGGAAGGTAGGACAAATCAGACCTGGGTTGGAGTCCCAGGTGTGCCCCCCCATGCTCTTGGCCCCACATCTGACCCTCCATGGCTGGTCTCCAGGTCTTACACTGCACTGGCCAGGTGAAGGTCTACAACAACTGCCCCCCTCATAATAGTCTCTGCGGCTACAAGGAGCCCCTGCTCTCCTGCCTCATCATCATGTGTGAGCCCATCCAGCACCCGTCCCACATGGACATCCCGCTGGACAGCAAGACCTTCCTGAGCCGCCACAGCATGGACATGAAGTTCACCTACTGCGACGACAGGTTGGGGCCTGGCAGCATGTGTGCCGTGGGCAGGGCTGTGTCCTACGTGTGTGTGTGTGTACTTGTGCCTGTGGTAAAGGTATGAGTCTGGGGCATCAATGTTGTATTGCTGGGCGCAAGCTTGTGGGCCTGTGTCATTGTTTCATCCCATCAGTGCAGCTAAGGGGTTCCTCATTCCGTAGTTGGTGGTCCCCCGTTGACGCAGCACCAGGGTCTGACTGCAGAGCTGTTCTGGTGTTTGACTCTCTTGTCACTGTTGATCATTGTGGTGTGTACATATTCCTCCATATATGTGTCAGGCTGCCAAGGAAATTTCCAGGCCAGTCTGCTTCCCCAGGAGATGAGAGTCTAGAGATTTCCATCAGGACTCCCAATTCAGAGGCCAGCTGGGAGCTTCAGGTTCTGCCCTGGAAACTGGCCCCTGGCTACATGGCTTCCACTTGTTCTCTTCTGTTAATGAGCTCTTCCCTCAGCCTTTGCTCCTCCTGTGTCACCTCCATTCCGGCCACTGTCCAGCCTAGTTTTGTAGGCTTTTTGATGAAGGGAGCTAAGCCAGACTCTAACCCCCAAAGCCAGGCCCGACTGGAAATCCTCTTATGGGAGAGTGTAGTAGTTAAGAGCGTCGACTCTGGGGTTAGGCAGCCTAGGTTCAAATCCAAGATGAAGTATTCAGTGTTAGCTGTTATTCTTACCCTAAATCGTTTATTAGAGTTGTTGAAAGAGCATCTAAGACCACACGTGCAAGGCTGTGTCAGCTCTAGTTCTTAGCTGAAGGTGAGGTGAAACAGGTGGGGAAGAGGCTTGGGTTGTCGTGGGAGGGTTGAGAGGGGCATTAAAGCTGCACCAGTTCCTGACTCCCCCACTGCCTCACCTCTGCCCTCCCGTCTGTGCCCTGGCATTGGGAATGTGGGAGGATCCAGAATGTGGGAAGATGGGAGGTGGAAGGAGGAAGATAGGGAAGAATGGATGCCATGAGCAATGGCCACCATCAGGGAGGGAAAGAAAAGCCAAGAGAAGGGCCTGGGTAGACCTGGCTCGAGGAAATGCCACTGTGGCTTGCTGACTAGCGTATCACTGGATGTGGCGTCAGGGCGGGGATCTCCCAACCTGACCTCAGCTTTCTGCAGTATCCAGAGCCGCCATTTTTTTCCAGAGTCACAGTTCTCGTGGCAACTCTTCGCCATTCCAACCACTCCCCTCTCACCTTCTAGGGTTTCTCAAGAAACCCTCAGATCTCAGCTTCCCCTTCTATAACATGGAGATGGTCATACTTTCTCAACTTGTTTCACAGGATCGTTGTAAAATGAGATGATGGCTATGAAAGCCCACCGTAAATGATGCGAGGCTTTTTGTTACTGCTTATATCTTACTCCCTTGTCCTTGCCCTCTCCCAAAGCAAGTCTCCCCACTAAACTCAAAGGGCCAAGATCACTCCTGGAGGCGTGTAGTGGCTGGGGGCCTGAAAGAAGGCGAGACCACCAGCAAGAAACCGCCTTGCTCCACCCCAGTCCCACCCACCTTTCTCTCATCTGCTGGACATCCTGGGGCAATCTGGCTCTCTTCTTGGGTGGGACCCTACTTTCTAGGCCAGGCTGAGTTTCTCTCCCCTGATTCTAGACTGACCTGGTATTGGCTGGCGCCCCTTCTTAGAATTGGCCACCACTCCACGCACATTTTAAGAACTTTCGTGAAATAGGGGCCGGCCCCGTGGCATAGCAGTTAAGTGCAAGTGCTCCGCTGCTGGCGGCCCAGGTTCGGATCCCGGGTGCACACTGCTTGTCAGGCCATGCTGTGGCGGCGTCCCATATAAAGTAGAGGAAGATGGGCACGGATGTTAGCCCAGGGCCAGTCTTCCTCAACAAAAAGAGGAAGATTGGCATGGATGTTAGCTCAGAGCTGATCTTCCCCACAAAAAAAAAAAAAGAACTTTCATGAAATATCCTTGAGTCATTCCTGTCCCCAGCTTCTGACTACCATACTACCAGGGCTCAAGGCTCTTGGTGGGTAGTTATGTAAGTAGAAAGAAGTGCTCTAACCTCATAGGAAGAAAATGTCACGTATGAAGAATTTTGCCCTGGAACGGACACAGTCAGCATTTATTATAGTTGTTAGTATTGTTATTATTGTAATGATGATGATGATTAGAAAGATATCCAAAGGCAGGCATCAGAGAAATCCATGTCACGTGTGAGGTTATTTGTCAGATGCAGTCTTTGTATTCAAATGAACATTCTGGGCAGAAGACAGTTTTGTTCTGTGCATCCCTCTCCATAATCTTCAAAGATGACGAGGGAAATTCTGCTGCCTAGCCTGCATGTCTCTGGCTCCGGGTGAAGTGGTACTCTGAATGCCTTGGCCATACAGCCTGGGAGCGGCTGGAGTGCTGTGGACCACGAAAGTTGCCTATAGCCCCTGTGAGGGAAGCACATCCCTGATGTGACCCCACCAGCACTGGGAAAACCCTACTGTCCTGGAAAATAACTTGTCATCCCTAGATAATAAAAAAGAGGGATTGTTTTTAAGCTTAAGACTTTGATCCTTGTTAAAGTGAAGGAAAAAAGTCCTCTGTAAAGCGTAAGTCAAAGTTATCCATCATTTATTATCTTGTTTTGAATGAGTTTCAGGTCATTTCCTGAAAGCAACTAACCTTTGGATAAAAGAAGAGGGAAAAAACATGAGGATCTGGAGGCCTAGGAGTGGGTGAAGAGGAAGTGGACACAGAAAAGGGAGAGCCCCTGTGCTGGCTGCTTAGTTTGGTTCAGGGCTGGGAGGCAGAGTCGATACTGGCTTGTAGGAACCTGTGATTTAGGGCTTTGTGACTCAGAGTACAGAGGGTGATATTGCTTATGGGATCTACTGGATGCACTGCACTTTCAGCAAAATCGTGCCTTTCCAGAAATGCGATTACATGGCCCAAACCCTGAATTCAATGGTGCTGGAGAGATGGAAGCAGAAGCGGTTAAAGACGTAGACTGCTGTGCCACACACAAGTTGTGTTTAACCGATGAGCAGATTAGTTAACAAGGGCACAGACGCGGCTTAGACAGTTTATAAAGTGACTATTTTAAGTCCTTAATCCCTAAGTGTTATTTCTCGATTGTTTTGATGAGGACCAGGATTTTTTAGTTTTGGTGGTTTTTGTTTTCACTCTTTGTATTGGGATGGGGAAAAGCATTCTCTGTCTCAACCATATTTTTTCCTTAATATCCTTGAGATCAATGCTTCAAAAATCAACACTTCCATATCATAGCTAATGGGAGGAGGAGGGCTTTCCATTTTAATCAGGGAACTCACTAGACTTAATATCTGACACACGTGAGGGGCTGTGGTTTCCCACAAAGGGGATTATTTTCCCATAAGGAAAATTAGAAAGAATCTGATAAAATAAGGCAATTAGAATCCACAGAATCACTTCTGAGGCTGTTTGGTATTTTTTCTTAGATGCGTTGAGACCATAGACATAATCAAACAAAAAAAGAAAAGGATCATGAAGAAAAAAAGAAAGAAAGTGAGGAGAAAAATAAAACAGAAAGAAGAGAGAAAAGGGGACGCTAATCTTGTGTTTAACTCTCTGGTTCCCAAAATCAACTGAACCTGAAACAACCTATTCTGAAACATCTGAAATTGAATAAAGGAATGCAGATGGTTCAAAATACATTTGTCTTGCTCTTCTTAGTAAAGGGTCAGAGGACCATATTAAAATCCTGTATTAATTATCTGAAACACAGTAAGTATTTGAAAAGTGAATTCTATAACAATTTATATGCCAATCACATTTATGTGTAGATGGTCAACTGCTCTAGACAAGGGGAGACAGTTGAGTTGCAAGGTTAAAAAAGAAGAGTGTTCTGATTATCAGTGTAATTGACGATCTCATCTCCATTTATGACACACACAGAGGCGTTATACTCTGTTTCCTTAAAATACTGAGCAACTAATTAATGAACTGCTGTTTATTGAGCATCTGCTATGTATCTAACCCTGTGCCAGAGACTATTACATCAAAGAAGTAAAAGAGATGATTCCTGATCTCCAAGATTTTAAGGTTTGAGAGACAGGCAACTTAATGAAACCACAGTGAATGATACAAAATAGAGCATTTCATTCACCCAAAAGGAAGACAAAAGTTGTTCCCAAGTAGTTTAACTTTAAAACGGGGTGGTTCTTAGATTCATGTGGAGGTGCCATCTAGTGGCGAAAGAGAATAACTGCGAAAGACTAATTCACATAATCCCACTGTGATTCTGTCAGTTTCACATCTCCCTGTTTCTTAGAAAATAATTATAAAAGCAAATTCCATGAATCAGGGCAGTATCACTGAGAGGGTTATCAAAACTACAGTAAAAATTTCAAATTAACAAAGTGTCATGCAATCTTCACAGGTAAACAATTTGAGGACAACTCTGTTTTGTCATTGGGTTAAGGCAATATAAGGCTTAATAATATGAGGAGTTGCAGTTTAATAAATTGTCTGCATTTCAAATTCTGTGAATCAAATTTATTATGAATTCTTTTTGTAAAAAGAAGTTGGGATAAAAGTGAGGGGACAGTTGAAGATCATAAAGAGAATGTCAATAAAGAAAATTGGAAAAAGCCATAAATTGTAAAACACACATCAAAACACCTAGAAGACAACAGTGTTGAAGTCTGAGAAGAAAATAGGCTGACTTCATGCAAATTAATAGTAAAAGATTATATACTTTCATTGCATATTGAGATACATTTAGTAAGTTATTTTACTTTTTTTGAGGATGGGTGGCATCTTTAAATTCAAGGTGATCTTTCAGGTTAATACATTACCTGTGGTTTTTTAGTTTCATATATAGTTAATTCTAAATATTTTTGTAGACATACTCATTAGCCTTTCTCTACGCATTTGATGTAAGAGGGTTTATTGTGTTTTTTTAAATCGTTGAGTTAGAAGAAACTTGAAGTGCTCTCCTTGTACATCTGTGTCTCCTCCAAATGGCAGTGTTCTGAAATCGGCGTTAATGGAGTTTGAGCGTATTGATATAGAAGAAATGCTTATGTTATCCTGTCTAATCTAGTCTGCTTGAAACACTCTCCGGAACAGGCAGCTCTACAAATTCTCCTTGGAAGTTATTTCAAAATTCAATAGACTTCACAATTCAAAAATTATTCCTTCTACACGATCTGCTTCTCTCTTGCTACAATTCAAAGCACATTTCCTCTCACTGCTTGTGTGTTTCAAGGTAATGCAAGGCAGCCGTGGCATCTGGTGTCCCTCAGAACGGGGATGGTCCAGGATTAACCAGGGCTACCGTCCTACGTATAAATGCACCCCACCTGTAACATATCACACTGACGGGAAGGAAACTGATGTTCTGTTAACTACAGAGCTTGTTGTATGGATTTTATGTAACTGTGTAATATTTGAGGAAAATACGAGGCTTAAGTACTGTTGTTTAAAGCAAAGTCTGGATAAAAATATATTAAAACAGAAAGATTGAAATCTGAGCTAGTGAATAGACTGGATATTATTAAGAAACTGCAATTTCAAAGCTTATAAGCACATATAGAAACCAAAGTGAGGTGAATCAAGTGTTGCCTAGGAGAGGCCATTGCCAGAAGGGTGGAAGGAAAGCAAGCAGATTTTAATAGAAGTATGGTTTATTAGCAGATGCATTCCTTGGAAAACAAATAGGTGGTTAAAAAGTACTTAAAACTTTTATCCTCTTAAATAGTTTAAATACTCTCTAACCATCTTGTTTACATGATTAATTTACTTAGCAAATCCGTTACTCCCGGGGGGACAGGGGTGAAAACAGCCAGACCTTGTTTGACTGCAGGCATTGGTGTCTGAAGTCAAGGAGCTTGCTGCTGCGTCCTCTGTGGACGGGCACTTGGCAGTGTCACTGGGAAGAGGAGTGAGCCGTCTCAGGCCTTCAGCCTGGATTCCTGCTGCCTTCAGAGGCGATGGCATTGACACTGTAGCCAAGAAAGTAATTTTTTTCCTAGCACTCAGCCACAGGTAGTCCACGTTGAAAAGAGCCTCTGAACATTTTTAAAAGTAAAGAGCAACTGAAGAGCAATGAATAACTGTCATTTTACATTGTGAAGGCATATCTAACTTTGAAATCCAGAGCCCGGCAGTGTGATCCACATGTTTACTTGGGGTAACACTAACTTCAGAATTTAACAACCTTTTTCCTCTATATTTTCTATTTTCCTTTCCTCCTTCTTCCTCTGCCTCCTGTGGCTGCCTCTCCACGTCTACATCTCTCTCCTCACCTCATCCTTGACCTGTTTCTTTTTCCACTTGATTATTAAAGAGTGACTTCTATTCTTCTCATTTCTGAATTCGGGCAAATTGAGCCCTTTTACATTTCCCTCTTCTCTAAACAGCCTTACTGAGTCAACTTTGTAAATTTATGGGTGACCCCAAACTGTTTTTTTTTTCCAGTGAGTTAGGGGCCCTTAATTAGAAAGAAAAAAATAGTTGCCCCTTATGGAGAGAGCAGATGAAGTTGTGTTATCACAGCCAAGCTCTGGAGGCTTCTCTGAGACAGAGGGAAATTAGCGGGGACAGCCTTTCTGTGCTGTCGTGGCCGACCCTATAAACAAGCTCGGTTCATTAACCTCCCCACTGGCGTCTGCGTGCCTGCAGATGGAGGCTGATGACCATTAGCTTTAAGTTGGGGTTTCCTGGCTTTGTGAAGTTTGACCATTCGACTGTTCTTCAATTGTGTTTGGAGTATGTGTATTTCCCAGTTTTTATAGTAGTCTGTTTAAAGGAATGAAGAAGGAGACATTCAATATTTATTTTAGTTGACAAGATAAATGAAGGCTGCTACTAGGAAGATAGCTGGCAATTCTGAAATCCACATTTGTTTGTCTACTCCCAAAACATGCCCATTGTGTGCCTTTGAATGGATGGTACATTAATGAGATTTAAAAAATATTTTATTATGAGACTGATTATAATAAATATTTACTTTGAACATTTTAATTTAAAGATTCTAATCTTCAAAGAAAATTTAGTTTCTTCAGGGAGTAGAGTCAAATCTTTCCTAGAATTCCCATAGCCTCATTTTTGACAGTCTCTAGAAAATTCTAGACCTGTCCAGGAACAGAAGCAGTTTATCTGGCAAATCAGTGAGCCGGTAAGTGGCTGGCCTCTTGTCAGCAGGGTACAATTAGTACAATTCTGATTCCCAGGCTAAGCCTGAAAGGCACCAGACCCTAGAGAAAAGCTATTTGGTTGTGGAAAAGGAAGGGCCAGTGCTGTTCTACTGTCTCCTTGTTCTCCCCTAATCTCCACCTTGGCTAAGGTACCATTGGGTGCCAGCCCTGGGGTTAGAGTACCAGCCCTGGGGTTAGGCTGCCTCTGATGACTTCAGAGACCTCTCTACTCAGGGCCAAGTGAGGGGACAGAACCTCCCAGTCTGAGACCAGCTGGCTGGTTCAAGTGAGCTGCTGGACTCTCGCTGCAGAAATCTCTGCTGGGCTGAATCAGCTGAGACCTAAGCTTCTCAGCCCTGTTGGGCTGTCCCTTGTTGGGCAAAGACCTTAACCCCCAAGTCTCACCTTAGCAGAGAACTTCCCTCTTCTCTGCCTACGTCAACACCAGACACACATTAAACATTGAAGAAATGATGGGTTAAATATCATGAGGGGTTCTGCTGAGGGCTGTGTGTGTGTGCACCACATGCATTGAGACAGGTAATCATGTTCTAGGAGGAAAAGTAGATCATTAGCGCCCAGATTCCCTAGCAGTGCTGGGATAGACAGGGCTCTTGTTTTACCTTCGGTCCAAAGAGAAAATCAATCCACTGGTCAGAAACTCGGGTATTTATGGAGCGTCCATTGTAGGGGAAGCCAAAGGGGAAAGTGGTCTCTGAGTTAGGGGTCAAGAGTCTAGGAGGTAGAGAAACGAATCCATAATTCTCTGTGACACTGTGTTCACCTATTAAGACTTCATGATGAGGAAGAATTGGAGAGGGCTCCGTGGAGAAGTCAAGGGCAGAGAGAAGAGAATACATCAGGGTTCTGCAGCAAGAATGAGTTTGCCAGAAGTGAGAACTATGAGGAGAGGGGTCCTCCAGAGCAGAGGGTCCACGACACGTGGCAGATCAATTGAAAATCAAACTGCTCAGAAGATGGAGACTAGATTCTGGGGGGACTTGGAAGTTGGGCAGAGCTTATTTTTCTTGTGGTTGGTCATAGAGAAAGCTGTAGATGCTTAACTAAGGGAGTCACAGGATGGAAATAATATTTTAGGATGACTTAGTCTGACAGATGTATGCAAAACCCGTTTGGAGGAGGAGGGAGAGTAGACACAGGAAGCCAAGGAGTCACTGCTTCTGCTTCCCTCTCCGTCTTATCAGTCTCCAACATGCATAAATGACAGGGCATTCCCAAAAGTCGTGCATTCTGAAACAGAGCTTGTGATGATGAGAATGTAGCATCACTTCTAACTCGTGATAGGCCGAGTTAACAAGACAATGAGCCCATTAGAAAAACTGTATGAGATAACAAAGATTACGAGAGATAACATTTAGGTATGACGTGGGAAAGCAGCTAATCTGGTGGTTCTTGGGCAGGGCTTGTTTATTTTAATGATTCCAGTACAGAGGAAAGGGTCCTAAGAGTGTTAAGTGATTCTTCATGGCTCTCCACATTTGCCTTTTCTCTGCACACTTCCCATCAAAACCAAACACATTACAGGATGAAGAAAGGGACATTTGGGACAGTCAAGGCCCATTGTTTCAGAGCTGCCCATTTATCAGAGAATGTAATGAGGAGGCACATTTCTGTGACTGTGATTTTATATTTCTTCCTCTCAGCACCTCCAGCCCTCCCTCCTTTCCTTGAAATAGAGAAGGACAAGTAGAAGAACCCATGAAAGGAAGACCTGATGTCCTAGAGATGTCTGAGGTCACCAGGCAGGACCTGGGGAGAGGCACCCAGGGGAGTGAAGGTTTAAGCACAGACGAGGTTCTCGCTGCTCCAGGTTCCTCCTCACTCTGTGGTTAACACACACACAAAGGCCGATGCCGTGCTTTTTCCCCACTTAACGGCCACATAATTTCCACTCTTCATTTATATCATCCTCTCCTAGAATAAGCTTGATCTAGTAATCAGGAGCCCCTGATTTTTGTTTTTGCTCTGTCCCTGGACACTTGTTTGGACATCAAGCAAACTGTCTGCCCTCCCTGAATCTCTACTCACTTGTCTCAAAAACTAGGGTTGGGGGTGTGTGAGAGCCCCTTCTTTGGTTCTTAGAGACTAGGCATATGTGTATATTGGGGTGAGGGGTAGGGAGTTCCCTGAATGGGTGCTTTTCTTCCTCCCCAAGTGTGACTTTAGGAAGGACAGGAGAGTGGAGGAGGTTGGGTGGACCCACAGCTGCAGATTGGCCACCATGTCTTTTTCTAGGATGAGTGGTGCGACCAGGAAGTCTAGAGTGTGTTCATCTGAATGTGTGCATTTGATTTACCTTCTGGATTCAGCTCCTTGAGCCCTTGCCCACATTAATCTGGCCTCTCTTCCCCACATGCTTTTTTTTAAATTCAGAATCACAGAACTGGTTGGTTACCACCCTGAAGAGCTGCTTGGCCGCTCAGCCTATGAGTTCTACCATGCACTGGACTCAGAGAGCATGACCAAAAGTCACCAGAACCGTAAGTTCCTGGAGTGCCCCATGTGGCTTCCTTGTGTCTGTGGAATCTGGCCTTGAGTGGAGTGTGACTGGTGAGACAGGAGAAGACGGGTCACTTCCTTCACAGAGCCACCACTTGCGTGGCATACAAGACTCATGCGTTCATGTTGATTACAGAACCAAGGCTGCTACCGGCCTATATGCCATCTTCATGCAAATTAGGAAAAAAGCCCCTTCCTCCGGGAGGACACACCCACGCCAAGGCATACAGGTTGGAGAGTGGAAGATGGGCTGAATCTCAGTCCCTGCATACCACCTCCACTGAGAACCCCTGTGCAGTTAACAGTCTGCACAACCCTATGGATCAGCCCTGTAGAAAGTAATACTAGACAACATGTAATCAACTTGGATTACGTACAAGTACTTGTGTTCAGAGAAGAGGAGGGCTGGGAGAGTTCAGGAAAGGAGAGGATGGAGCACTTGAATTGGACCTTGAAGGACAGGGGTTGGGGGGATTGGGCTGAACAGAAGGAAAGAGAGTAGAGCACCAACTTAATAGATGTGTTGAGGTAGGCCATGGCTCTCCAGAAGTTTGCTTGCTAGAGCAAGAGAAGTCAGTTGGAGGAGGCTGTGCAGGCAATCCAGTGGTGGCATATGGAAACTGTGCCTTGTAGCTTAAAAGAGAACCTGAATTATGAAAGGATCCTAGAACAGGACTGTCCAATAGAATTTTCTGCAATGGAAATATTCTACATCTGCACAGTCCACATGTGACCTATGCAGTACTTGAAATGTCTAGTGCAACTGAAGAACTGAATTTTTAAAATTTAATTTTAATTAATTAAATTGAAATAGCCACACTTGGCTAGTGGCTACCATATTGGACAGGGCATTTCTAGTGCATTCACTTGGCCACGTTCCCAATTCAGGCTTACTATTTGCAGGTGATTCCAGACAATTTCCTTGAATCCATACAGCCCATCAACATGTAAGGACTCTGAGTCTATAACCCTATACTTGGTCTACCAGGGGACTTGGAAATGGATAGGATTGCTCCCTGCCCTATTTCTGAGGTTTGAAAAGGAGGGTTGTGGGAGCTGTGGAAGCAAGGTGACTCATACCTTTAGCCTTAGTTTCTAGCATAGGCTTGGGTACAGTACAGGCAGTAAATGAATGATAAACCCAAGGGAAAAAACATATTTGGGAAAGAATGCTTCAAAATAAGTGTCCATAGTGGTGCAGATGGCGGTGCTGAGAGGATTATAGAAGCATTAAAAATGGGTAAGGTAAATCTGAAAAGATTGCCACTGGCCCTGCTGATCTGAGGCTCCCAGGATTAGCTGTGGCTTGGAGTGGCGGTGAAGAAAATGGAAGTGCAGCTATCTGTCCATTGTTCCTAAATCCATCCATCTATCCCAGTTAGGACAGCTGAAGTTCAGAGCAACTAACAGGTTAGCAACTCCATAAACTGGATGTGAGCACAATTAATATTCTCTTAAGGTGTGAGATCTTTTATCTTTCTAATTGGTTTCTCTGCTTCTTCCTCATGCTTTCAGGTTTGATCAGACAGTGCAACAGGGCCCTTTATGATTTCTCAGAGAAGTTTCTAACTATGCTGTCTGGCAAAAATAATAATAATAGTAATAATAAACAAACAACCTAGACTTGGGCCCATTTAGGGACCTAGGGATGGGGGAGGGAGATGGAGGTACTCTTGTGTGCCCAGACCACAAGGTTGGGTGTGACCCAGCCCTCGCTTGCCCCAGCTTTGAAATTGTAGGATGTGGTTCCAGCCTCCACTTTGGGATTCCCCATGCTTTTCTGGTCCACGACTGTTCCTGCTCCTGAAGTCATCCTGACACTGGGACTCAGGGACCTGGACCAGCTGACCCACTGATTCCCCAGGGCCTGGCTTTCTGGGCCTTCTCTCCTTTAGATGTAAAATTGGGGGAAAGTCCAGCCTGCCTTCTCAGCCAAAGGTGAAGTCAAAGCAGGGGACTATTTACAATAATAAAAGTTTCTGGAAATTCTTGGAGGACCGTGTCGTACTTTATCTTCTGGGGTAGAAAGGTGGAGGAAACTACTGTCAAAGAGAACAAACATGGTGACTTCCCTCCAGGCATATAAAAAGGATCTTTCTCCTTCTTCTTCTTCTTAGAAAATCTTTGATCTTTAGAAAAGAGCTGGGGTAAAAAGTTTGTCATATTGGTTTTCTGCTGACTCCAGGGAGAATATGGTACTTTTTATTGAACCCATGTGTTTAAGTATTAGGCACACTTAAAGGTAATTCACAGCCCAAATAGAAATCACAGGCTCTCTTCTTCTCCGGACGGGGCCAAGTCAGGCTGCTCTGAGCTCAGAGGCCTGTACCCAGCCAGCAAGCCTGAGTCCAGCAAATAGAAATCTGCATGGGTTGGAAATTGGGTTAATGCCAGCTCAAAATAAAAAGCATCTATTTTTGTCTTCCTCTCTCTCTCTTTCTCTCTCTCTATCATTGGGTTTGTGCAAATAAAGTTGCACCACAGACTCACACTCATGCTGCAGAATAATTGGAGGCCAGGTTTGAGGCCAGTCTGGGTTTACACACCAGCGTCCCGAATTTCCGCACGTATGTGTGTCTTAGCCTGTGAAGGTGTACGGTTGAAATTTCTGGGGAAGCTCAGTCCTCAAACCAGATTTAGATAATTGAAAGCCATCATTTCCAAATGGATTAGTAATTTATACATTGTTACTCTCAGAGGGGAGGGGTTGGGGAGGGGTTGGGGAGGGGGTTGGTTTCTCTTTGTTGTATGAGGACATTATGTGCTCTTAGGAAAACAAGATTAAAGGCCATAAAAAGCCTATCTACCAAGTAGCAGGCCCCTCACCAAGGCTGCCATTAATGAACAGATGATTAGAAAGCAGGGTAATTATATTCTCCTGACAGAGCAGGCCCTCGCCTGCAATTGCTAGAAATGCAGTTAAAACCTTTGCTCACTGCACTGTTTAATCAAAAAGAATAAGAGCCCTGAATTTTGTCTGCATTAAGAACCGTCTAAATAAGTTAACTCCAAGCACTTGAGATTGTGCAAGAATCATTTCGCTGCAGCAAGGGCGCCTCAATGGGGCAGAGAGAGGGAGATCAGGGAGGTCAGAAGTCACTTCTTTGGCCGAGTAACTCATTACTCCATTTGGTGAATGGAGACGTGGCCCACAACCCTGCCAGTAGTCCACGATGGTTTAGCACAGTGGCAACAGCAAATTTAGTGTCCCCAGTGAACTGTCGCTCGGGGGAATGTAGTAGGAGAGCGCTGTACTGGGAGCCACAACGCTTGTCTAGCCCGGACTGTGTCGCTACTGTCCTGTGTGATGTTGAGCAGCTTACAATCCCTCTGGCCTCAGTTTTCCTCATGTGAAAAGAAGATGATATCTCTCCTCCCAACAGCACAGATTTTCTTAGAAAGATCAGACAGCGATGATACAACCACTTTGGAAAAAATTTGGCAATTTCTTATAAAGTAAACATACGCTTAGCATCTGACTCAACCGTTTCACTCCCAGCTACGCCCACAATATATGTCCGTGCACAGATTCATACTGAAATGTTTATAGCAACTTTATTCATAATAACCAAAAATTGAAAACAACTCCAACATCCATCAACAGGTAGATGGATACACTGATTATGGTATAGCCATATGATAGAATAGTACTTAGCAGTAAAAAGGAACAACATGAGGAATCTGGGAAAACATGCTGAGTGAAAAGAAGCCAGGCACAAAAGAGTCCATACCCTTGTATGATTCCGCTTATATGAAAATGGAGAAAAGATCATTTCAATGTATAGTGACAGAAAACAGATCAGTGGTTGCCTGGGACCAGGTGTGGCAATGGGGATTAACAGTCAAGAGGCATAAGGAATTTGGGGGAGGATTATGGACAAGTTTTACACCATTGATTGTAGTGATAGTTACAAGAGTGTGTGCATTTGTCATAACTCAGTGAGCTGTATACTTAAAATGGGTTCATTTTTTATTGAAGGTAAAATAATCTCACTAAAGTTGATTTTTAAAAGTGAAAACCAATCCAAAAAAGCTTAGATCAGGAGTCTTTCATTTGGACAATAATACTGCCTACTATTTCCACTGAGGGGGCCTTTCAGCAAATCACTCAATAGTTGTAAGCCTCAGTTCCTTCAGATGTAAAACAGGAATAATAATGGATACCTCGTGATGTTATTTTGTATTAAATGAGGCGATGATAACACCAATCCTTACTGATGCTTTATGTGCCAGGCACTGTTCTCATTGCTTTGCGGAAATGAGTTCATCCTGAGACAGTTTTGAACACTGCAAAGCACTGTACACATGTGAGTTACAGTATTTCCTGCACCTTCCGGTGCCTGTTAAATTTTTTAAGAGGGTAAAATGTGCCAAGAAAAACATAAACGTGAAGGATTCCAAGCAGCGTTAGTATGAACTAAGCTGCATTCCTCAACCACACAGGGGTGGTGAATGGAGCCGTGGCCCACGAACCTGGCAGGAGCATCTGGATATTCTCCCACAGGGCTCCTCACAACATTATCTATAGACATGGGCATCTACGTATTAGTAACTTTGGGGAAGATGTGGCTTTTCCTATACAGCATTTTTTGGTGACATTCAGTCAACATTTTTGTACCTGATAAGCCAGGTAAACAGAGTTGGCCCTCAATACAAACAGCTGTGGTATACTGAGTAGCTAATAATGATAATTATTATCATTCCTATTATTATCATCAATACCTTATTTTGCAGATGAGGTAACCAAATCCCAGAGGTATTGTTCTTCTCCCCAAATCCCTGTGCTAGCAAGATTTCCTAATCCTTCTACCTTGCCTCTTTGCAATTCTCTGTGATTTGAGGGTTTCTGAGCTGGGATTCTGAAGAATGAATTCCCAAGGAATGAAAGTAAACGGGCAGTTCAGGAAACTACCGGAAATTCTAACATCAGTAGACTTTAAAGGGATTTATTGGTTTCTTTTTAATGGGAGCTAATGGAGCATTCTGGACTGGGGAAGAGGACAGTCTGGGATGTGGGACCCCTTCCCAATACTTTTATACAGTAAAACAAATGTTAAGTAAACAATCTGGAAGAGGAAAGAAGTCATAGGTAGGCAGCCTCGTTGGGCAGCTGAGAGAAGAAGGGACATGAAGGACTTAGCATGGCTTTTAAAGAGGTTGTGAATAGGCTGCTGGGGGCCCAGCCCTTTCTCAGCCCCAGCCGGGGAGTGAGGTGGCTTGCCTCCTCCTTTGCCATGGGTCACAAACCTTCTGTGGCCCTAAGGGTGGCAGGCCTGACAGATGACCTGGAAAGATCAAGGATGTCAGTTTCTTAAAAAACTGCTTTTCTTCACAAGCAGAGTGTTGGTGGTGGGTCTGCTATGAAGGGCTGCCCTGAGGACAGGCTCTCTCCACGCTGCTTGCAAGTACCCCGTCACGTGGAGTAGTTGACAGAGGAGGCTCTCTTACCCAGGGTGCTCGTTTGGATCCAGCTGGTCCCCCTGGGGTCGGAGGGGACTTCTTCTCATTGAACCCTTGGGGGGAAAGTAGGGCAGGTGCTGCTTTTGGCCCAGCGTGGTCGGTGAGCTGACTTGTCAAGGGATTGATGATGGGCCACTCCCTCACCAGACAGCCTTGGGCAAGTCATTTAACCCCTCTGGACCTCCTTTTCCTATATTTAAAACGAAGAGTTGGGTGAGATGATCGCTAAGCTCCCTTCCAGCTGATTTTCCCCCGTCCTCACTGTCCTGGTCCCCAGTCTTGTTTGTTTCCCTGCAGACTGCCCTCCCCATGGGGTCTCACTCCCCAGCCTCCCTAACCTCGGGCTCCATTTCTCCTCTCCTAGTGTGCACCAAGGGTCAGGTGGTGAGCGGCCAGTACCGGATGCTTGCGAAGCATGGGGGCTATGTGTGGCTGGAGACCCAGGGGACGGTCATCTACAACCCTCGCAACCTGCAGCCTCAGTGCATTATGTGTGTGAACTACGTCTTGAGGTGAGTGTGTGAGGGCCGCAGGGCTGGGTGTGCAGGGTTCCCAAGCTCCCCAGACTGAAGACAGCAATCCCAGGGAAGGCTGAGCCTCTCAGAGCCTGGGCACCACGTCTGTGAGCTCTTTGCAGTGCTAATCCTCATGACCCAAGGGACTCGCTTGGATGTTTCAGGAACAGTGGGACATTTGGAATTTCCCCTACACGGTGTTTTTTCTGCCCCTTCCGCCTTGTCTGTCGTCTGTGTCGTACCTCTCACCCACGTGGGGAGGCAGATAGAACACAGTCGTCACTGAATAAGTATTTTCTGAATGGGGAAAAAGGGGAGACTCGCTCGTGCTTTCTGGGAGAAGATGTAACACCTTCTCTCTGTAGCACGTGGGAAGAAGGTGGAGAAAGTCATTGCTCGGGTGAAACAAACAAAAGCAAAAGCCCTCAGACCTGTGTACACCATGCAGCCCACGCACAATAATAAAACAGTGTCCAAGACAGGTATTCAGAGAGCACTCTCGGCCTCACTACCTGCACGACTCCAAACTTCCATCATGGGGTTCTTTACAAAATGCTGACACACAGTGTCCACACCCATGTCATCGTTGGCTGAGAGACTTGGCTGTCAGGGTTTCCATGTCTAGGGGAGCAAAAGGATTTTGTTAGAAAATGTGGAAGATCTGAAATGCCCTCTTGTCCCGACAGTGAGATTGAGAAGAACGACGTGGTGTTCTCCATGGACCAGACGGAATCCCTCTTCAAGCCCCACCTGATGGCCATGAACAGCGTCTTTGACAACAGTGGCGACGTGGCTGCGTCTGAGAAGAGTAACTTCCTGTTCGCCAAGCTGAAGGAGGAGCCCGAGGAGCTGGCCCAGCTGGCCCCCACTGCGGGAGATGCCATCATTTCTCTGGATTTCGGTGGGTGCTTCCTAGCTGAGCCAGGGCTCGTCAAACCCTCTTGTGGTGGGAGTGCTTCTTACCGTAACAGGCCTCCCTGGCTCCAGCTTTTCCGTGAGCAGAGCTGCTTTCCCTGAGTCCCACTAATCATCTGTTAGTGGCTGCTCTGTGCTGGGCACCAAAGAATAACACATGTACCTGCCCTGGAGTCAGGCCGTCCTCCTCCTGGCCCTGTGAAGCACTGGACGAGCTGGGGTTATGGTTATCCGTGGTTATCCCACAGGCAGCGGGAGTCTGAGATGAGAGATGCTCTGAGGCCACTGGCGCATTTTCACAGAGAGGGCAGATCTCCACCTGAGCCTTGAAGGGCAGATTGCTTGTTTAGGTAGAGAGCTAGGTTGAAATAATGTTAGGAGAAATAGTTCCAGAAACGTGGATGGAGAAGAGATTGAGGCCCAGGGTAAGCCCTCCTATGCACTACTTCTCTAAACTGTTTGCCTGTCCCACCAGACGTGAGTTCCAGTGGCCCCAGGCAGTTTTCAGCCCTCCCCCGCCCCATGCTGGAAGCACTCTTGATGTGTACCTGGGAAGCCCCTTGCTCCCCAGATTGTGACGCACCGTCACCCCCCGAGCCTTGTGTGGCTTCTTGAGAACTAGCTACACCTCCCTGAGCCTACCTACCCTAGACAGTCTCGGCCCCTTGAGAGGTGTTCTTGAGAGGCCACGTGAGAATTGCACCTTCAGAGAATCATCAAGGGCAGTGGGCCCTTGGACGAGAAGTCTTGCACCTCCCCAGTTTTGTGGCAATACTGAGGCAAATTGCCCAATTCTCCTCTTATAACCTCCTCATGATTGCTCTTGAAGGAAGAGTGGCTCCTAATACATTTAGTCTCTGAAGATTAAATGCTCCAGGAGGGTGTTACCTTTAAAGGGAGTCTGTACATTGACTCATAGCCCCAGTTAAAGGCCCCTTTGTGCCCGCTAAGCCTCAGAGCACTGAGGACCTAGCCCCAGGCATGCTTTCCGACCTCTTAGGACCTTTTGTGCATCCTTTGGGCTTTCTCCGCCCTGGGAGTGAGCCCAGTGGTTGTGCACATTAACCAAGCCAGGCCCTTGCCTCCCCAGGGAGCCAGAACTTCGAGGAGTCCTCAGCCTACGGCAAGGCCATCCTGCCCCCAAGCCAGCCGTGGGCCGAAGAGTTGAGGAACCACAGTGGCCAGAGCGAGGCCAGGAGCCTGCCTGCTTTCACCGTGCCCCAGGTGGCTGCCACAGGGAGCACCACTCCCAGTGCCACCAGCAGCAGCAGCTGCTCCACGGTGAGCCCCCCACCTTGGGGTAAGGACATGGAGAGGGTAGGCTCCTCCTTCTGGCTGCTGCCAGATGGCTGAATGGACAGCCCAGACAGAAATACTGCCCTCCTCCCCCTCAAGTTATTCAGGAGCCCCCTAGGGTAGCCGTGACACTTACCTGCCAGGTATTCCAGCTGTTTGTTTGCTGTCAGTATCCATCCCCACCGCCATCTAAATGAGAAGCTCCTTGAAGATGGGGGCTGAGTCACACACAGCTTTGAGCCTGTAGCTCAGTCCCTGTGCAGAGTAGTAACCATCCTGCTTAGGGCATAGAGCTGTACAGTTCCAGAGCCCTGCCAGCCATGGTCTTTGTCCTGTTTGCTTCCTTAGGCAGGCTTATTTTATGATGAGGAGACTGAGGTCCAGAGAGGTTGATGAATTGACCTAATTCATACAGCTCGTAGGGAGTGACCCCTCTATAAATACATTCAGTGGAATGGAGTTGAATCCGTGGGTCCAGGAATGTATTTCTGCTCCACCTTGGACTTCTGAGGAGACCAGTGCCATACTCTTGACTTGGTCACCCTCCTTCCTGGCCCCCAGCCCAGCAGCCCTGGAGACTATTACACGTCTCTGAATGATGATCTGAAGATTGAAGCAATTGAGAAGCTCTTTGCCATGGATACAGAGGCAAAGGACCAGTGCAGCACCCAGGTAGGTGGCCATGGAGATTGGGATGGTGTGCCATGCCTGCCAGCTGATGGGTGGTGAAGGGTCACGTCCATTCTGGCAGCCTCATCCGTTTGTTGTAGAGACCAGTGGGGATGCTTGGCCCAGGCCCTGGTCCCTTAAATGGGTGAGTGTGTGGGGAAATGGAGCCTGTGGTCATCCCCCTCTCCCACTTCTGCCCTCTGTTTTACCCTTGTAAAATCCAGCTCTTCCTTTTTTAACTCTCAACTTACCTCTTACTTATTGGGACAGCTTTCTTAGTGCACATGAAAACCCAAACTACAACTGAACGTTTCTTAAAGAAGCCCTGCATTTAAAAAGCATATCCAGAGTTATTAGCCATTCATAAGCAGAGGGAACAATTACTCCCTTCACAAACATATTCCTCTTTGGATTCTGAAATGACATCTGATTGACAAATTTTCATTTACACACAACTTTTTAGGAATGCGTTTATTACATAAGGCCAAATGTTCTTGCAAAAACTCTGTAAACGGGGCTGACGTGGGTGGATCGGTGCATGATTCACAAAACCCAGAGGAGAATCATGAATCCTCCATTTGTCTCAGTCTGGGTCATTCATTCCAGATTTCCGCCTCGCTCCTCAGCTTGCATCCTCATCCTGCCGGTACCAGTTCCAGTTATTCTGTAGAAGTTTCCCTCTTCCAGCCCACCCTCTCTCTCCTCTGAACTCCTGCAGGATTTATGACTTAGTACTTGATCATAACTACCTGCTTCTGCTCTGTAACCATTGCATATAGTTATAATCATTAATGAGCTGCATCCCCCAGTGAGGGTATCATTCTCTGAAGGTAGAAACTTTTTTCTGCATCTGCTTCTAAGTGTTCCCTGTAGTGCCCATCATGATCCTGGGAACCTAAGGGGTGATCTCCGAGTACTTGATAGTGGAATGAAAGTCCCGCTCCCAGTGGGGCTGGCTGTCACTCTATGAGCAGTCCACAGATACATTGGCCACTTACTGTGCGCTTAGGCCTGTGCTGGGGCAGATGAGGGAGATAAGGGCAAAGCTGTCCTTGGCTCCCCAGGAGCCATCGCGTGCACCACAGGCCTAAGGGGCAGTCACCATTGGCCCAAGTAGACAGGGATGGCTTTGGGGAGGAGGCAGGGCTTGCTGGGGCCATAAGAGGGAAGGCAGGGTTTGGACAGGTAGAGTGGAGAGAGGAGAGCATTTCGGGTTGTGAGAGGGTGGTGACACCAGTGTGGTGCATGGAGGGATGACTGAGTAGAGCGTGGAGATTTGTGGCACAGGATGAAGAGGGGATGAACGGCATGGAAAGGCTAATATCACATGCTAGAACTCGTCCACATTAGGTGGACGAGTCTGAGTTTTCTTCTGATGGGCCCTAGGGAGCCCATACAGGTGTTAGAGCAGGGGAGTGAAACTGTTGAAGCTGTCCTGAGATGAATGACTCTGGTAGGGGCCAGGAAGGATGAGGGGCTGAACTGGAATGGTGTATGTGAGGCGACACCAACCTCTCAGCTTCTTTACCTTTGCTGTCTCACCTCAGACGGATTTCAATGAGCTGGACTTGGAGACACTGGCACCCTACATCCCCATGGACGGTGAAGACTTCCAGCTCAGTCCCATCTGCCCGGAGGAGAGGCTCTTACCGGAGAACCCCCAGTCCATCCCCCAGCACTGCTTCAGTACCATGACGAACATCTTCCAGCCACTGGCCCCTATGGCCCCTCCCAGACCCTTTCTCCTGGACAAGTATCAGCAGCAGCTGGAAGGCAAGAAGATAGAGCCCGAGCACCGGCCCATGTCCTCCATCTTCTTTGATGGTGGGAGCAAGGCGTCCCTGCCACTATGTTGTGGCCAGGCCAGCACCCCTCTCTCCTCTATGGGAGGCAGATCTAACACACAGTGGCCCCCTGATCCGCCATTACATTTTGGGCCCACGAAGTGGCCTGTTGGGGATCAGCACACTGAATCCTTGGGGGCATCACCATTGGGGCCCCCCGTCACCTCGCCCCATCTCTCCATGTTCAAGAAAAGGTAAGTAGCAGAGGCCCTTGGCTGCATCAGCAAAGCTGTGCTGAACAGGGAGGGGACAGATAAGACACCCACTGGGGGGATCTCTGGGGCCTCAGAAGGGCTCCTTGCCCATCACCTCCTCCCCCTCCACAGTGGTCTGATACTCCATTTAGCCCAGCTCTGAAATCCGAAAGACTAGGGGGGAATCACCCCAAGGTATGTGAGGCCTCGAGCAGGACATGTTTTATCAGGGCTTGAGGAGACCAAGAGGGGACTGAGGACAGGAAAAGGGAGAGAAGTGGCTTGTCGAGGGCTTTGACCATCAGCGTCCTCCCTTCAGACCACTCCTTAGAGTGCCTTTCTTATCCACAGAGCACAAAAAATTATTTGAGTAACTCTCCGTTCCTCCTGGAACTCTGGCTGAGAAAAGCAAAAAGATGCCCACACTCTTGCCCTGCCTTTTGGCTGCCCAGGGCCTCCATAGCAGCCCCTCTGGGCAGTGCCCAGGGTCCAGCATTACCTTCCCCATCCTGCCTTCTCCTGGATCCTTCAGATCTCCCCACAAGCCCCATTTCAACCAGCTGGGAGCTCACCAGGCTAAGTCACAGTGGTTGGTATATGACTTCTAGCCCTCAGGACCCCTGGGGCACTTGCCCGTTGCAGAGCACCCTCATTGGTCCTCAGTGGGGAGCAGTCCAGGCAGGGCCGGGGAGAGACGGGGCAGAAGAAACCCTCTAAAGACTGACGTCACCTAGCTGGACAGCCACAAATGAGGTCAGGCCTGAAGGCTGCCCGGGTACAGCTGGGTGGGTGGGCGGGCATGTGTGGAGGGAGGTGCAGGTCACTTAAGTCAGCATCTCACCAGGTGGAGAAAACCGAGGAAAGGAAGCAGAGCCGCAGCTCAGGCCCACCACCCCTCCTCTGCGACTCTGCTCTTTGGGCCTTAGAGCCACCACCGTCCTACATATTAGTTCTGGAAGGGCCTAGTTTTCTGAGGGCCCTGAGATCAGATGAAGGCACTGGGTGGCATGGGGCTCCAGACTGCCTCACTTACCTCTCTCTTGGGCTTGGCAGGTCTGTAAAGGGCTTTGGGCCTCGGGGCCCAGATGTCATGAGCCCAGCCATGGTAGCCCTCTCCAACAAGCTGAAGCTAAAGCGACAGCTGGAGTACGAGGAGCAAGCCTTCCAGGACATGAGTGGGGTAAGCCATCTCCTGTCTGGCGCACTATGGGTTCCCTCCTCAGCCCCTGGGGCAGGCCGGGCGGGAAACTCTCATACTGGCCGTGAGGGCTCCGAGTGCCTGCCAGGGGCAGCAGGGAAGGTGGGGCTGTGGCCTTTCAGAGAGAGCGAGCACCAGCCCCATTCCAGGCACAGCTGCTCTGCACCCCTCCCCACCCCCAACTCAGCTGGAGGACTTGGTTCTCTGGCCCTCTCCCCTCTACATCTGCCCTTCCCACACCCAGGCGGATCCACCAGGCAGCAGCGCCTCACATTTGATGTGGAAAAGGATGAAGAGCCTTAGGGGCAGCGGGGACTGTCCTTTGATGCCTGACAAGCCACTGAGTGCAAACGTCCCCAATGGTGAGCAGCCGGCCTGGGCCTCCTGGGCTTGTTGGGGGAGGGCATTTGCAGGTGGAAGGGCTGGGGGCTCAGGAGCCCATCCTGGCTCCTCCACTCTCACCACCTGCCTTACCTGCCTCTCTCGGGCTTGTTAGAACAGGACGGTGTCCTCTGCCCCACCTTCCACACACCCAACTTCCCCATTTCCGCTCTGGCTTGGACGATGCTCTCAGAAATCTCTGGGCTCTGAGGCCCTGGGGGCTGGCTCTAAGCTCCTTTTGTGAAGGAAGGAGGACGCTAGGGGCTTCACGCTCTCTCCCCTCCCTTGGGCCAGCATGCCCTCACTCTCCAGTGTTGGTCTTTCAGACGAGTTCACTCAAAATCCGTTGAGGGGACTGGGCCAGCCCTTGAGACACCTGCCCCCACCACAGCCGCCATCTGCCGTGAGCCCCAGGGAGAACACCAAAAGTGGGTTCCCCACGCAGTGTTATGCCCCCCAGTACCGGGACTACAGCCTGCCCTCGGCTCACAAGTTGTCAGGTGGGTGCACTCAAGACCTGGATTCCCCATGCCAGGGTCTGCCGTGTGTGGGAGGGGTAAGGGCCAAGAACTGGATGTCACAAGGCAGCAGGTCTCGGCTCAGCATGAGGATGAACTTGCTGCTGTGAAAGGTTGGACAAGGGTGAGCCCTCCTTACCTGGAAGTATTGCAGCAGGGGCTGGAAGGAACCCTCCAATGATCAGGTGACATCCAGGGCTCTTTGGACCCTCAGAGTCCCTGAGCCTTAAATTCCAGCTCAGCTCTGTACTTGCTGGAGGACTGAGGAAGCAGCAAGTCTAAAGGAGAGGTCTGCAGGCCAAGTGTGGAGTTCAGGCGCACATTTGTCTTCAGTAGTGGTAGCCAGCATCGCTGTTCCTGCGGTGAACCCAGGAGCTTCCTTGAACTATAGAAATCAGCGGCAAATCATGTTCTTTTCAACTCAGGTCATTTCTGACTGTGAGAAGAAGAAGAGGGGATTAGAAAGGGATGGTGAACAAGTATCCATTGCTACTGTGGGGGCTGCAGAGAGGTGTGAGATCTGGTCCCATCCACAAGGGAGCTAGGTCGAGTGGGAGAGGCAGGCATGGACCCTAGAATGTTCTGGGGTAGGGATTGAGGAGGGAGACGGCACAGAAGCCAAGGGAAGGAAAAGTGAGCACCTCACAGTAGATGGGCGGAATGGAGGGCCTTCATTTTTGTGACTCGGGGGCATGAGTAGGGCAGCCCTAATTTCACACTTTCTTCCGTGTCGTCTTTCCCGAGCGACCTATTCCATGCTCAGAGGGTGGACCCAGCAGAGACTGTGTCTGCCTCCAGACCCATCTCACTAGGTGGGGTGCTGAGACCCAAGGAAGAGAGAGAGAGCACGGTGCAGACATGGTGCACTTGGGCCTTGCCTTCCTGGGAAGTGGGGTCTGGGCGCTGGTAGTTTCCCCTTGTCTTCCTTCTCGGCGGGAGAAGGACTCAGGGACGGAAGGAGGGGCTGCTGAGGGTGATCTTGAATCTTGGAGAAGGACCCCTGTGTGTGTGTATTGTGTGTATGTGCATTGTGTGCACATGTGTGGATTGCGTGTTTGTGCACACGTGTGTGTGCATGTAGGTGTATGCGCGCGCACGTGCATGCAGGTACCAGCTGGTTTGGAATTCCCTCCCTCCACTTGGCCTCCCTGCTGTCAGTGCACGGCAGGCACGTGCCAGGCCTTGCGCAGGCTCTTGCTGACACCTCCTCCTCCAAGGCAGCCGAGGAAGCCTTCACGGGGGCTCCTTCCACGCAACCACCCTCCCCTGAACCTTCCTCTCCTGCTGTCTGCACCATGACAGACAGACCACAGAGTAGGTCACTCGGGAGAGACGACACTGAAGAAAGAGTGAAATTAGGGCTGCCCCACTCGTGCCCCCGAGTCACAAAAACTGAAAATGCTTCTTGCTCTCTGCATGCTAGCCTCCTATGGAATAGACCCTTTTCCAAATATTTCATTCTGGGTTTTTAAAATACGGTACCAACCATTCTTTCAGGTATGGCAAGCCGGCTGCTTGGGCCCTCGTTTGAGCCTTACCTGCTGCCCGAATTGACCAGATATGACTGTGAGGTGAACGTTCCTGTGCCAGGAAGCTCTACGCTCCTGCAAGGAGGGGACCTCCTCAGAGCCCTGGACCAGGCCACCTGAGCCAGGACCTTCCACCTGGGCAGGCACCCCTGCCACCACCGTCCCTCCAGCTCCACTCCCTACGTCTGTTTTTACAACTAGGTATTTCTAACACCAACACAATTTTTACAGGATGTACTTACCTGGCAGACTTGTCCAGGTCACCAAGTAGTGGCCTTTTTCTGAAGATGCTCACTTTATCATCTATATTTTAAAAATACGACAGTTGTTTTACCTGCTACATTTTGCTCTGTCAATGAAAATGTTCTTAAATTTTATAAGATTTTTTTCCCTCAACCTCAATTACTTCTAATTTATATTATTCATAGGTCTCTTTCTCTCTCTTTCTCTGACACACACACACAACGTCCATACTAACAAGTCTGGTGTATGTTTGTTCTTTTGTAGGGAAAACTTTGGCTTCATTTAACTAAAAACATTTTGTTGTTGTTGCCAAAGAAAGAAAAATAATTTTGATTTCCAAGCTTGACTTGTGGCCTCTCCCCCTCAAAGCCCTTCTCCTTCCTTTTTCAAAAATAATCACCATATTGTAAATTTCAGTCTTTTTTTTTTTTAAGCTTATTGCTCTAATTTTGATACGACTTTTGAAAAAAAAAGAAATGTGAAGGGTGAACTGCAACGTATGTGGTTGGTTATCTGTAAAAGTTGCACAGTGTGGCTTTTCCTAAACTCTTTGGTGTCCCCCACCCCATTCGGTGGATTTTTTTTATTATTATTCAAAAACATAACTGAATTTTTTAAAAAGAAAATTTATATCTGGATTAAGTGTTTATCATATATATGGGTACTTTGTAATATCTAAAAACTTAGAAATGGAAATGGAATCCTGCTCACAAAATCACTTTAAGATCTTTGTTAAGCTGTCCCTTCTCCTTTTCCTGGTGTTGCTGACACTGCAGAATTGTATAGTACTCCCACGGGCCTGTACTAACACCGCTCAAGGTCTCTCTCTTTTGGCTTTTTGCTTTTGGGATATGCCATAGGCATGACAGACAATCTGAGAAGTGGAATCATTAAGTGGGAGCATTGCCAGCTGTCCTCTCCTTGTGTTCTATATGTATTATGTATGTATGTATGTATTATTATTGCTGCCAAGAGGGTCTGACGGCATGTCATGGGGTAGGGGGTTGGGGGTGGGGGGAACCTACGGGACGGGAAGTGCTTTAACTTTTCTTAAGGTTTTGTTGCTAGCCCTTCAAGTGCACTGAGCTATGTGACTAATGGTCTTTCATGTGGCACATTTGGATATTTCCAGAACTAACATGAGATGGTTTAAATGGGAATTCATGAAAGAAAGTGAGGATTCAGAAATGGTGTAGTGATCTGGTCCACGTCCTCCCAGCTCACCACCTTGGAGCACGTGGAGCTGGACTGAGGGGGAGTAGCTGGTCCTGACCAGCCCCAACCCCATGCCCCTTCCTTGGCCCATCCTCAAATCGCCTTGCAAGGCTGAGGTGCAGCGCCCCCACTGGCGAGCAGCAGGCAGACCTCTGGGGACGGCCCCTAGCCTCAGGCCCTCCCTGAGGTCGGCCTGTCACTTGAAGTGACTTGTATAGGTAGGAAGCACTGAAAATAGAGTGTTCTCAGAGCACCTTGTAACTCACTGGGTAAGAGGGGCGATACCTTTTGGTTTTTAAATACCAGTCACATGGAACTTTTCTGTCATGGGTACAATGACAAGTTTCTAGAAACACACGGCACAGCAGTCCAAGATACAGCACAGCAGGCTAAGGATTTGGTAAGCCTGGCTGGACTTATTGCCAAAAACAAATCAAAATTTAAATTTCAAAAGAAATCTAAGTTATATGAGAAGTTACCTAGTCACTGTGTTGCCCAAATCATACTTGAGCACCACAGCTTTGCCCCCGCTTGGCGGCAGAACTTGAAGGGTTACCAACATAAACGCCGGTGTTTGATCTCCTGTGTGTGTTGCCTCAGCATTAAGGGCATTTTACCCTTGCAGTTTTACTAAAACACTCTGAAAAATATTCCAAGCTTCAATATTAACCTTACCTGTCAATGTAACAATTTCATGAACATTATTATATTGTCAAATTCCTACTGACAACATTATTACTATACGGGAGCTTAACTTTATAAGGAAATGTATTTTCACACTGATATCTTATTAAAGTATTCTGATCCTACCACTGCTGGTGGTGCTTGTTTCCTGTGGATTTATCATGGGCTACACCAATGTAAAAGTGAAGTATTTATTAAATAGTTTACAAAAAATGAACATTGGTACTGATCTTTGTGAAACAACTGAGGCCAGCTGACAGGACGATGGGTAAAGGAAGAAAAGACTAATATTAATACTTGGCAACTGCCCAGGACTGGGAAACCAGGTTGTACTCTCCACATTTCTGCAGGTATTTTTCTGTCTGCCACAGGGCCCTTTTTTTGTATTTTCTGGGGGACCCAAGGAAAGAAGCCGTGGTTCCTGCCTTGAGAAAATCACGTGTAGCAATTTGAGAGCTGTGCTGGTCTACATGTGTCCACACTCTGCACTTGGGGATGAAGGTTCTGAAGGGGAAGGGGCAGCCTGGGCCCTAGGGGTCAGAGGGGACTTCAGTTTGGAGGTGGCAGGGCTCAAGCGAGGCCTTCCCAGGTAGAATGAGGACGGGAAGGGCAAAGATCACCTCAGCCGGAGACAGAGCACGGCGAAAGCCCCGAATTGGACATGGGCATGATGGGTTCCCTAATTCAAATTTTACTTTTCCAAATCATGACCTGCTTATGAACAGGCAGCTGTCTCCATGGTGTGATGTGGGGCTGGGGAGAGCCCCAGCCGCAGCCTCTGCTCATAGTCCTCAGTCCTGGAGCCAGCATTCCAGCATCAGGCACTTAGTTTGCCTAACAGTTTGGTCCGCATAGTGTGGTCTCACACGTTACCCTATTAGTTCACTTGATCCTCAGGCTGAGCAATTCTGTGAGCACCCATTTCACAGATGAAACAGAGTCAATTCAGTGGCTTATGTAAGTCCCACCCTGTTAGTGGAAGAACTGAAACGTAAACCCAGTCTTTGCTGGTGCCGCTCTGCCCTGACAACTGACTCTGCCTGCTGGGAGGTATGTTTTATGGCAGGGCTCTGTTTTCATTTCCAAACAGAAGATTCCTGTCCTTATTACTTTAATCTTTAGACCTCCTTCTAGTTCTTTTGCTTATCATCTCATCTCTTCTCTTCCCAAACTTGGTGCCTGGACCTTCAGATTGGATTTTCTGGGCTCTGCCTGGCTCCCACTCACCTTTGCCTGCCATCTTGGACTTCCTGAAAATATCACCTGTTCTTTTCTTGCTTTTCTTTTTTTTTTTTTGTGAGGAAGATCAGCCCTGAGCTAACATCCATGCTAATCCTCCTCTTTTTGCTGAGGAAGACCGGCTCTGAGCCAGCATCTATTGCCAATCCTCCTCCTTTTTTCCCCCAAAGCCCCAGTAGATAGTTGTATGTCATAGGTGCACATCCTTCTAGTTGCTGTATGTGGGACGCGGCCTCAGCATGGCCAGAGAAGCAGTGGTTGGTGCACGCCCGGGATCCGAACCCGGGCCGCCAGCAGCGGAGCGCGCGCACTCAACCGCTGAGCCACGGGGCCGGCTCTCACCTGTTCTTTTCTGAAGCTCTTCTGTGAATAACGTATCTCAGCCCATCCTTCAGGAGCAGATTGCCCTGGAGCATTGGCAAGTTCAGGACTCAGACCTAGATGGGCGCTGTCCTGACCGCCACCCCCCCCACAACAACTTCAGCAGGTCATGGGTCTACAAGGTGTCCTTGATTGGGGCTGTTGGCCTTAACCACCTGAAGCCTGTAACTGTGTCCTCCAGCCCCTGGTGGTGCAGGAGCTCCAAGCTCCTATTGGTTCCATGTCCAGCAAGCCAGGGGGAACATAAATGGGGAGGACACCGAGGCCACTGTCCCTGATGGATACGAGGAGGTCGGCCTCTCCAAAGCACTCAAGGCCAAGACATAGGCCCCACACAAGCCATCCCTACGTCCTTCATGTTTTGTCTTGAGCGATCCAGTGAAGACTCTGACTTAACGTGCTCCTGATTTCATATTTTACTCTTCAAAATGCAGGTGGCCTAAGAGGAGGTATATGTCTGCATGGCCAGGTGTGTAGGGGCAGAGGCAGGGCCCTGCATGGAATTAGCAATCGTTCAGCCATTGGGGTTCCTCCTGATTCTAGATATGTTTTCCTTTTGGCAGGCAAACCCCGGCGGGATGTGATACCTTCCCAGCACTTGTCTTGGTTGGTAGGCTCCGGGTGAGAAGTCTTTCTGGGAGGGGGACTCAGACCCACAGCTGAGGAAGGAGACAGCCCCATCTGCTGGAGAAGGGCCAGCCCTGGCTCCCTCTGATCCATACAGGGCAAAATTTACCCTATCCTGCCCGAAGCATGGTCTCTGATGCACATTTCACATGGAGAATGAGGGGTGAACTATGGGTTTTACTGCAGATACAATGCAGGCCCATTTCTTTCACAACATGCAAGAGTTAACCATCTACAGCCCTGCTTTCCTGGGCCCCTCCCCGTCCTCTGCTTTTTGTGAAAAAGAACTTTTATCAGGAGGCGTGTATGGAGTGATCAGGTTAACCTGGTTCTGCCTTTCTCCAGGTGGGAGTGGCCCTAGTAAGACAGTACTGGATGTATTTTCCCAGATTGGCTCAGGATGCTAAAAAGGACCTAGAAATGATGTAGCGCCACCCCATCATTTTTTTTTTTCAACCTCCTCATTTTAGAAATGAGGAACATGAGGCCGAGGGAGACAAAGTGGACTATCCCTCAGTCACGCAGTGAGTGAATGGCAGGGCTAGGAGCAGAACCCAGGCCTGCATCTTGGGGACTGAGGCTGAACCCACTGTAAGTGAAAGGGGCCTGTGTCCCTGCCCTGATGCATGTCCTTTGCCCATGACGTCAGTTCTCAATTTCTCAACCAGTCTACAGGCCTTCCCACACATGGCCCTTTCCCCACCGCCACCTCACAGGTCTGCAGCCTCTCCCTCGTCTCTTCCCTCAGGGTACTTTCAGTTCTTCCAAAATAATCACGAGCATGGCGTGACCCTCATTTCTTCAAAATATTCCTTTGAACTCAGGGGCCCCTGTGGGAACTGCTTGGCCTCTCTGTGACCTCGGTGAAATAGAAATCAGTTCCTTCACTTCTAGACTGAACTTTCCTTGGCCTCCCAGGACCCAAGAGAAATAGGGTTTTAAAGTACTCCCCTAACCCCACCA